TAACAATCGAGCAAAAACAGCAGCTATAGGACAAGAGGGCTGCCAACCCGAATGTACTGCTGCAAAAATAATCGGCAAAAACTTTGAGAAAAAGAAGAAGATTTGGACCCGAGATGGGAGTATGGAGATGCCCCGACTCCATACAGCAATCCCACACCTCGGTGTAAGGAAGGGGCAGGATAAGGACCACGGACATGTCATCAAATTGCACATCGCCTCCCACAATGTCAGGACTCTATCGACGGATCCTCTTCTAGATGTATACTTGCAGCACCTGGAAAAGATCAAAGCTGATATCGTCGGTGTCTGCGAGACAAGGAGAGCGAAAGAAGTCTCGGCAAAGTGGACGAGTGGCGAAGAAGTTCTTTTGGGAAAAGGTGCCGACAACGTGTCAAGAACTGTGGAAGTCAGGTTTCATCGTAAAACGTCGAAAAGATGGTTCCGCACATGCATTTCCTGCGCGATTGTTTTGTCCCTCACGTGTTGCTGTTTTGAAAATCATGATACAGCGGATGGGGAAACGAACGCTCAAAATCGTTCAGGTGTATGCACCTACAGCGGCAGCGGAAGATGAAGAAGTCGAACGTTGCTATGAGGAAATAGAAGCGGCGTTGAAGATCAAATCGACATACACCATTGTCCAAGGAGACTTCAATGCAATTGTTGGCGCAAGATTGGGTATGGAAAACCTTGTCAAATACGGCACAGGCGTACGGAACGACAGAGGAAGACGCCTGTCGAATTCGCGGAAGCAACACATTTCTCTAATCATGAAACACATTTTTCCGAGAAAAGAAACCAAAAGCGGCTGTGGACGTGGAGAATAACCAGATACAAGATTCGAGTCAAATCGACCTAGAATGACAGATACGCCGAGAATGTTTGCTGACGTTTCGGTTATAGGTGAAAGTGTGGTCGCGACTGGCTCCGACCATCGTCTAGTGCGCTCGACGATACTTATAGATCGAAGAAGAGAGAAACGAGTTCTGTACTCACAAAGAGCACTCATATGCTACGCTGCGTTGTTAATGCGCGATTTATTCACTGAATTAGTAGCATTGTCAGACCTGCGGATGGACACTGAGAGAAGCATCGACGCTGACTACGACGAACTAGTAGAAAAAATAGTTCTTGCTGTCAAAGCTTCCAGCACTGCAGCAGAACGCGGCAGAAGACAACGTGTGTCAGCGGAAGCAATCCAGATGATGCAGAAGAGAGCACGTATGAAGGCCGAAGGAAGGGTCCAGAGCGAGGAATATAAGACTCTCAGCAAAACGATAAGGGAGAGGATAAAAGAAGACTATGAAGGATATAGGCAAAAGAAGCTTCGTGAAGCGGCAGAAAAGAGGGCAAGCCTGAAAACAGTGGAAAGGGATGTCCGTCTCAGGCAGCAAATTCCCTCCGCTCTCAAGGATAATCTAGGTGTTCGCACGACAAATCGAAAGCGGATGAATGAAATCTGCACGAAGTTTTTTAACGATTTGTACTCCTCAAAGGTGTTTGTCACAAAAGTCCACTCAACTGCTGTCAGAGAACCGGTCCCAGAAGTCATGTGGGAAGAAGTCGAGCATGCAGTGAAGGGAATGAAGTCTGGAAAAAGTCCAGGAAGTGACAACATTCGACCTGAGCACCTAAAAGCAGGCGGAATAAACCTATTCAAAGCGCTGGCAGAACGTTTCAACAGATATTTCATTGAAAGAAAAGTTCCAGCGGCGTGGAAGAAATCGAAGACGATACTGCTGATGAAGAAAAGGAGATCCTGAGAGTCTGAACAACTACAGGCCCATCACGCTTTTGTCACAAATATCCAAAGCCTTCACGAGAATAATCTTGAACCGTATCGTCAAGGACTTAGACATGGCTACGAGTAGAGAACAGGCGCGGTTTTCGGAGCGGTTCCACGATGGACCAGTTTACCATGTTGTTAACGTCAGCCTACGGGAAAAATGTGGAGAGTTCCAAATTTCCCCTATGCTTGGCGTTTGTCGATTACAAGAAAGCCTTCGATTCGGTTGAAGCGAACGCAGTATTCAATGCGTTGAACAGATTTGGAATCAATACAAACTACGTCGACCTCCTGGAAGAGATGAACGACGGCTGGCAGTACAGAAATCAAGCTCTTCAACGACCCCTGTCATATAAAGATCTGCAAGGGAGTACGTCAAGGAGACACAATTTCGCCGAAGCTCTTTGCAATAACACTGGAGGCCCTCTTCGGAAGTTTGAATTGGAGCGGCGGCATCGAAATCGACGGCGAAAATCTCACGCATTTGCTTTTTGCGGACGATTGCGTCATTTTTGCACAAGACGCAAGAGAGCTTCAGGACAAGCTGGTTCAACTTCAGAATAAATCAAAGGAGATTGGACTCGAGATGAACCTCTCCAAAACGAAATGGATGAGAAACCAGTTCAGTCCTATGACGGAGATTACAGTCGAAGGCGAAAAAATAGAAGAAGTCCAGAATTACGTCTACTTAGGGTACCAGCTCAGCTTTACAGAGGGCGCTGGAGGAGAATTTAGCAGGCGCAGGAAAGCAGCATGGACTAGCTTCAACAAAATCTCAACGACACTGCTAGACGAAAGCCTTGCGATGGAAATAAAAGCGTCACTGTTTCACTCCACAGTCGTACCCGCATTACTATACGGCGCTGAGTGCTGGTCAACGCACCAAAGCAGTACGAAGTAAAGAAATTCGCAGTCCACGCAACGGTCAATGGAACTAGTTGCGCAGAATTTGCAAAATATCATTTGCGTGATCATATCTCGAACACGGAACTTCGAAGGCGAAGTGGCTTTGTTGATATTGTCCAGGAATTGTACAAAAGGAAACGAGCATGGGCCGGCCATGTGCGCCGTTCTGAGAGATAAACGAGATGGACTTCCCGCCTCACATGAGTTTGATTCGCGCTGGAGTCGCAAAACGACCGCTGGAAGCCTAAAACGAGATGGGGCCGATTCTCAATGGTGAAAAATGTTCGGCCAACAGTGGAAAAGACGCGCACAAGACCGGAATGAATGGATCAAAGTCGACTTGCGTGGATGGCGTAACACACGAGGACAAGTCGGATACAGGTGATACAGGTGATAATAATATAATATTAATAATAATAAGTAATAATAATAATTAATAATGATAAAATAATAATAATAATGATAATAATAATAATAATCCTACAATATATATTCGATGTGTCTGTTTGTGTATCGTCTGTCTGTCTGTCACGAAATTCATAGCGCCGGTCCCAGTAGCAGTGAGACATTGATTCCAAGAAGTGATGTAGGGGGTGTGACGGGAACACTATTGGTGGGTGACAGGAAGTGATATCAGTTGATAAGATCGATAAGAGGCGTTAGAAGGGGAGGTCACCATATTCATAACGCGGGTGACAGCATCAGCTAGCTCTTGATTCCAAGATATGATATAGGGTATGGGCCAAGAACATTATTGGTGGGTGACAAGAACTGTAAGCTGCTGATAAGATTCGATAAGGGGCGTTAGAAAGGTGAGGTCATCGTATTCACAGCGCAGGTCACAGCATCAGCGAGGCGTACGTTTCAGCAAGTGATATAGAGGGTGAGATGGGGACATCAACCGTGGGTGACTGGAAGCGATAACTACTGATAGGGGCTGATAAGGGAAGTTGCAGTCGTCGTCTGTTCAAGGTGGTTCACGCTACCAAATCATAGAGATTTAGTGATGAGGACATTGATGACGGGTGACAGGTAATCTTATCAATCGATAAAAACAGATAAGATACCATCTGCGCTACATTTTTATCGCTCTTACTGCTATAATCCGAATATTAGAAGTTCAGTGTGTGAATTCTTTCCTTTACTTTGGACATCCTTTCCTGAATCACTAGGAAATCACTGGTGTCGAGCGGGGAGGGGGCATATATAGTGCGGCTGAAACGGGAAAATCGAGAAATTCATCAATCTTAAAAATGTTCGAAATCTGCCTGCTATGTGATGTGTTATGAGGTGGCGGTGGCGGTCGCAACTGAAGCAAAATAAGGAGGACCCAACAACTGGGAGTGGAGACGTCCTGTCGGTGGTAACATTCGAGCTCTCCGTGCGACACACACTTTGACATGTACAAGCAATGTGAAGTTCTCCTTTTCAGTGCCACCCATGACTCTGCAGTTATGCCTCTTCCGGGTGTTAAGGACTCATCCGGACTAATTCAACTTTACCCATTCTGATGTCGCAACTGCGGTCCTTAATGATATGGTGCAGCCTTCTCACGGTTGAAAGTCTGTAGTAAGCAAGAGGGACCAGATGTTGGTAGATAATGACTGATGTTGAGCTATTTTCAACTAATTTTCCTATATTTCATGAAGAATTAAGTGTCACCATTCGTCACATTTAGCGCATTCTACCTCGCCCAAGGGAAGAGTGCCTGGCGAAGCCAGGTCGGCCCGGCGAAGCCGGGCCGTGAAACAGAAGGAGGAGCACCCGGCGGCAGCCGGGTGATCCGACTGGTAACATTAATAACAAGGTAGTAATGATAATAGCAACAATAATCGTCGTAGAACAATAATATTGGCGAGCAAAAATAAGCCAACTAAATGATTTGATCATCTCTTATCGACTACTTTTTTGAAGGGTATTCTTTCCGATGTCAAAATGGATCACTCGGTTCTCAATAACTGGACACAGTGCAAACTTGATATCGTTACCGATTACCCGAAAGCATCCGCCAACATAGTGAGTTATGATATTTTTCCTACAAGTATAATACATGAGTTCGTTGTAAATATAGGTGACGAGGAATTGAAGGAAACCCTTTGAAGAGTAATGACCAGTTTTATGGTTCGGTAACACTGAATGTTGCTATCAAGCATTCAACCAATCAGGCACTACCTCAGACCGGGCGGGAAGACACTCCATATCCCGGAGATGGAGTGGGCGTGGCCGCATGCTCCATTCAAACCTGGCACCGGCTGGAATCTCTTCATGTCGGAACAACTGCAGCCATGTTTATGTTAAACAACAGGAGTGATAGCAGTTGTTCCAAATGGAAATATCCCACGGAAAACGCATCCAAGGATCATGTGTTCGAATGAAGCACGCAGTCACGCCTTCCCTATGTTTGGGATATTGAGCCTATTGCTAGAAATGAACTAGGAAGGTAAGGAGTGCACACTATATCGTTCGAGAGGCGTGCAGTCGATGGCAGCGCCAGCGCGCCCTAAGCTTTCTTGAACTCGTCTGCCTTGAGTTCCTCATTTAGCCAGGTGTCTCTCCTCATCTTGTACTGTGTAGCCAGAGGGGAGACAGAAAGACTAGTTCCGAAAATGGACGAGTCATCTCATCAGTTGAAATTTTAGCAAGCAGCTGGCAGGTATGGCGTATACCATGGCATGTTTCATGTAGACACACCTACAGATAACCTGTGTTTTGAACACAACAGCTTGGGGAAAAGGAGTGGCGATACTGAATGGGAACAATTTGGGGCGATACTGGGCGAGTCAAGGACCACAGGTATGCTTTTCCAAACACTTCTGCTTATTAGTCAGGATGGCCTTTTTGGAGACTTTTCGCGAGTTGAAAAAGCTGGTTTTCCAGTACACACTCTACGTGCCAGCGGCATTTCTTCGTGCTGGTGATAATTCATTGCTGTTGCTCGAGCTGGAAGGCACCCGCAACTGCAACGACTCGTCTTGCTTCATGTCATTCGTTGAACAGCCTATATTCAAGTGGGAAACAACCACAGCCGGAAAAGATTCCACCTTTGGCCGAAAACATCATATTGTACTTCCGGACTGAATTATTACACATAATAAACGTTCATAAGTTAAAGTTCTTGAGGTACTCGAAACAACGCAAACGTCAGTCGACTCCGCTGGGAAGACGGACAAGACAATCGCAATTAGTCGCATGGTCGCGCGCGGCGTATCGTAAACCGATGTGCAGCAAACTTTCAACGAACATATGCTTGTCGATTGGAGCAGCGGAACACGTATGAATTCTAGACAAGACGCGATGAAGGGCGATGTAGAATTTCTCTCCCTCATCCCTCAAATTCAGACGGACAGAAAGGGAACGCTTCCCCGCCAGGGCGTGCAGCGTCACTCGTCACGCCCTACCAGCGCGGCACATTACGTCTTATGGTCTTTTCATATTTATCTCACCACGAACTGTCGGGTCGCAATCAACGGTTCCCACCTGCGCCCTTCCCACCAGTGACTACTGATCCTTCCTAATTCGGATCATTGGCTCAGATATCACCATTGGAGAACAGCAACGCGCCGGAGGCGAGCTCGCCCGCTCGCGCCCCCTCCCTCCCAACCCTCCCCGCCCTCTATCGCACCAAATTTGCAATGTTAACCAAACTATACTCTTCTGATGCGCGGACGCTGGCTTGGATCAGGCTGCGGTGTTTTCAGCGCTCAGGCGCGTTTCTCCATTTAGTGTTGAAGCGCGTAAAGCGACATGCAACTGTTGGGAAAAGATCTGGCGGTGCTCCATGCCAGCCCCCTCCACCCCTCAAGAAACGCTCTACATAACGGCCCTTTCCCTAAAAATGGACAAATTGGCAGCCGACAAATTGCATTTCCAACTATTCAGCTTTCAAATCTCGCGTGATGCTGATCGATCACTTTCTTCTTTACAAGGAAACCTAATTGAGCTTAGTCTAATGCAACCGTAAGGCCTTCCAAGGGAGGCGACACCACAACAAACGAATTAATTTATTGTTTGTGTGAATATGTTCCTAAAATAGTATTCGTATTTACATTGTGCTTTGATGAGAACACTGCTGACGAACTCATTTAGATCTGGTCAACTCGATAGATTTTCTCTGCAGCTGTGAACCATCCTTCATACACGACAGTATCAGGAGTAGTGTCGGTGTGGTAATGACCTAAAATTAGTTTCACCTGGTTTCATCTTTTCTCACACGGATAGGACTCCCTATTTTCGGGGTGCAAGACGCACCATCTCGATGACGGCGCAGTGAAGCGCGACTACGTGTCTTGACACGCGCTACAATTGCAGCAGCTCTCAAAGGCGATAGAGCGAACTCAGCCGAGACTAGAACCGATCGGCCACTCCTGTTTCAAGTATAGGGGAATAGGAGGGAAGGCTTCGCCTTATCACGCAGTCTGATATCGATCACCGCGGGTAGCTAATTATTCGGGAGAGTATAGGGGAATAGGAGGGTATCAGATGTGTGAAAACAGCGTCTACCATCCTGTTACCCTGTACTCTTTCGAAACCCAAGCGGCCAGCGCTGATCGATTCACCTCTGCCGCTGCGTTGGCGTCTATAGCACTGAAGCGCCCATGCAGAGGTAGCGCGACGACGCGCGTCATCGCGAAGTCCGAACGCTGCCTGGGACCGATTAACGTTGAGCACTCACCACCATCATCATGGTCAGAATAGCAATGAGTATGTTCGATTCGAAGGTTGTAGCCGGGATCATAGGAGTGAAAGACGGTGGTGCAAACTAATGGCGCCTTCACTTTGAACATATGAAACCAGTTCTCAACCTGAAATACCTTCGTTATTCTCCAAAAACCGTTCCACAGAATATTTAGTGTGAGGGTTACCTCGTCCATCGTCTTAAAGGAGGAGGAAGGGTAGTCGGGAACGACGTGTACATCTGCTTCGCCTCGAAGGAGTAGGAAAATACCGGCTACGGAAACGCAGCTGAAATGTGAACATACTTGCAATTCAGGTTCTCAGCAGTTCTTCACTCAAGAATGCAAGGAACTTAAAAAGGCGGCGTTCATACTTTGCGCTGACGCGCCAGAACGCGCTGTGACGCGCGTCGACGCGCTGCAATTGCAGCAACGCTCGAATACTACAAACGCGATCGCAACCGCAAACGGGAATCAATAGGCGCCGTATTGAGAGACTATGGGGGAACAGAAGGGTATGCGTCGCTTAATCAAGCAGTCCGGTATCGATCGGCACTGGCTACTAGGCTTTCGGGAGAGTATAGAAGAATGGGAGAGTACCAGATTGTGTGGAGGCAGCGCCTACCCTCCTGCTATCCTGTACTCTCTCGGAACACAAACGGCCAGCGCCGTTAGATTCCGTCTGCAACTGCTTCGTGTCTATAGTATTGGAGCGCTGTTGCAATTGTAGTGCGTCGATGCGCGTCAAAGCGTGTCATCGCGAAGTCTGAACGCTGCTTAATGGAAATATAACCCATCCACATCCACTAGTGAAACGGCACTGATCATTTCAACTGTCAAAGCAGAAACGGCGGGGAATGCTACTGCAGTGGGCTAGACACCGACGGTGCCATCGTAAAGAGTGGTGGTATTTTTGAAATGCCTGCACTGCCTGCGATATGCGAGCGATCAGATCTGAGTTAGAACGTGAGCAAGGAAAGCTGTTTTGAAATGGTCAACGGGAATGAATCTCACTCATATCCCTCCTATATTGTGGACGTGCGCAACTTACTCGATTACTTGTTTGGAAAAAGAAGAATCGATTTTAACAACGGCTTCTCACTGTTATTTGCTTGTACAATCCCTTGAACTCTACGACCTCCTTTCCGACAATGACGGATTTGAAAGCATTGCTCATCCCAGTATCCACTGAAGGTATTGTATATAGAAAGCTTCGCAAAGAATCTCAGTCCTTGCGGCGTTCGCAGGAAACAAGACTGAAGTTCGTTCGCCCGCTTCGCCCTCCGTCCTGCTTTTAGGGTGAAGAGTGAGGGGAGTGGTGACGTGTTGTCGAAGGTGTGTGTAGAAGGTTTCTGCCTATCGTGAATGGGTGGACTAGGCGTGATACTCCTCGGCTGTGTTCTGCTACATTTGGACGGATTGGGAGCTTTTTCTTCATGGACTTCTAGAAGCCGAAAGGCAATTTTCCTAACGTCTTCATTTCAATAAGTCTCCTTGTGCGTATAAGGAGTAGAGGTCACGCAGTTTCTGTAGGTGATGTGTTTCACTTCCTTACCTCTGTCCGTAATGTCGGGTGAGACCTTTTCGTATGCATCCTGGTAGATCAGCGTCTCCTTTGCGTTCAGAGCATTTGACATGAACTGCAAAAGAAACATGGTATGGTAACGGTCTAAAGGAGAATACGCTCTCTTTTAAAATCTCACCCACTTCGGCCGGCCCCGGCTCTTCAGATATTGCCAAGTTCGCCATGAGTTGGAATTTTGGAGAATCGATAACACTCATCCTGTAGGGAGACGTATACCCGCTTTGTTGAGTTATTGTCTTCGAGGCGATCTTAAAAAGCCATTCCTTCACTGATACATGAAATTAAGAAGCAGCAAATCATACAACAGGTCACATGTAGGGTGTAAAGGCCAGGCATGGAACCAGGGATCCTGTTCAGGAAATGCTGAGAAATTATGAGGGAAAAAGCGTCTCCACTGGCAGCTGCATACCGCAGCGAGTATTATCGTACGAGGGCGCAGTCCACATTGATTCTTATGTACGAAGCAAAAGCCTGTCATTTTTTTTCGTCGTGCATTTCAAGTTCTGACACGGTAAAGAGGACCCGTCAACGAGGTCATAATTATGGACCGATTCTGTTCTCACTCAGAAATTGTAGCACTCCCCTCCCCAGGTAATGCTGGGCGTCACTGGCACTCCTCCCCTGCAGTTGTACGCACCGTAAGCAGATGTAGTTACTCACGTTTGATAGCTTGTTTTGAACGAATTTTGCGCAGCTTGGTTGATGCAAGTATCA